TGGAGGCAGTAAGAGGTGCCTATAATAATCTTCACTGAGAAGACTGACTCATCTCTTTTGTTTCCTCAAGCACAGATTATATCTGTTGGGAAACAGACCAAGGAAAATGCTGGCTGGACTCCCGTGTCCCAGACAACTTCTTATTTTAGCCTCTCAATTGTTCCAATCCAAAGACCAGATTCAATATGTAGTTACCAACAGCGCTGGCAACGTTTGGAAGTTTAAACCAGTCTACACCATTCTTTTGATACATAGGAGCAAGGGAAGGATTCTATCTTGTATAATATCACAGAAGTTCTTCCTGAGGGTTAGACTCATTCCTTCTTTTAGAGCTGGACAGATTCATTCCTTGCTTTAGGGCCTGATCCAAAGCCCATAGGAGTCCATGGAAAATCATTATATGGGCTTTGGATCAGGCTGCTAGTAAACAAGCTTGGGAATTCATAGTCTAGCAGTGAGTCCTGCCCTAATAACCTGGGAAGAAACTTTGACATGAGCACATTTCCCAACTTTCAAAAGAAGACCTTTAAGGTTCTTCAGTAAGGAACACAGGAGATAGAGGACTTATGGGAAACTCGTACTTGCCCTCCCCTTTGTGCTCATGGAAGAAATCTGTGGGTATAAACAAAACAAAAAACAGTACCTCCATATAAGTTAAATGCAAGTGAAAACTACTGGACTGAGACAACAAATACTTTACCCCGTCAACTGTACTACAAACTTCCCGCATGCTGCCCAGCCGTGAATGGGAAAGACTACCCCAAGATGGGAATTCACTCTTCAAGCCTCTTTAATCCTGGGGGTGAAAGCCTGACTCTACTGAAGTCAATGCGAGGTTTGCCATTAGCTTCAATGCAGCCAGGATTTCTCCCATGGTCTGTTGAGACCTAGGGCTCTCAGTTAGGGCCATTGCTAGTTTTCAGTTTTGCAGTTTGGGTGCATCTTCACTGGGAACTGGACGGAGGCCATCAACTCATTTCACACAGCCATTCAGTGATGTGTCTTGGATACCTTTAAGAGTATCCTGTAGATTAATAGAGAGTCAAAAACTGGACAAATAACTACAAAAATAATTGAAAATGATGCAGTTAGTTTTGTGTGAAGCCAAGGTTGAGAGTCCCCTCCCTCAATTTGATGTGATGTTTTTTCAAAAAAATTAATCTGTTATTTCAGTTTTTCCTTTTGTCCTTTCCTTTTACCAACAATTTAAAAAGATTTTTCAAAAGCAAAAGGGAAAAGGGAAATACAAAAAGAAAAGAGAAAAAATATTGTTTATGGAACTTTTTGAAAACACAATTTTTTACCAACAAATTTGAAAGGCCATTTCTGTTTAAAAAAAACACGAAAACAACCCAAACTGTGCTGAAAATATTTTGGTCTCTTTCAGTTTTTATATAAGGGAATAACCATCACAGCCCTGTATCTCCAGTTCCATTTCTAGATGGGAGCCTGTGACACTACTGGATTGTGAAATACACATACAAATCACTGTTGTTCTCACAGATACATGTTTGCACCAAATCTTGGACAAAGTGGGCCAAGTGAGATGTCTATAGAACGCTGATGATTCACTAATTCTGTTTATACTAGTCATATGCATGTATAATTTTTGTATTTGAAGTTATGAGTATTGGCTATATACTTGTATTTCAAATATTTGTTTCTGGCAGACATCAACGGGAGATTTGGCCGGCCTATTGTAGAAGACTATTGGTAAGAGAATAGCAGTACTTGGCTGACAATGCACATTTGGTGGTACCAACACACATCTGATGAGCTTTTCTGTGAAGGTTCAGACTATCATGTAAGCAGTGGCTGCTGCCTGAAAAGGACTGAGGTAGGCATGGACAGGTGACTTGCTCATGTGACAAACTCCATCTTGGGACATAATTTCACAAAGTGAGACCAATGGGATTTCCTCCACATGGGCAAGAGTATAAAGTGGGCCCTGAGGGCTCCTCCATTTTGTCTTCATTCCAGCTCATGAAGAATCACTCATGAAGAATCTCTACTATGAACTGAAACTGTATTCCAGAGACTTGTTTTAAGACAGCAGTTTATTCCATCTCTGCTACAAGCTTGCACCAAGAACTTTACAACTGGTGTGTGCAATTTGATTCCTTTAAAAATTTTACTCTCACCCTTTCTTTTATGAATAAACCTTTAGATTTCAGAGCATGTTTTTTTGGATTGGCAGAGCATGTTTTTTGAAGGAAGATCTGAGGTATAAATTGACCTGGAATGTGGCTCATCCTTTGGGATCAGGAGAACCTGTTCTGATTTGGTGAGATTGGTTTTCAGAACCTTTCATCTCTATAAGGAGGGGGCACTGATGATGGCACAGGAAAGGGGATTACTTGTATGACTTCTTGCTAGCTAGAATGGCAAACAGAATTGCTCGTGGTGACTGGCTTGGTGTGCCTTATAATGAAGGACCCTCTGTTTCTAAGCAGTTTACCCTGATTTGAACCTCTCAGTGGTGCCCCCAGAGATCTCCTGTATTACAGAGCCCTAAGATAGTGCTAATGACATTGCATGATTGTGTGCAATGATTACTTTGCCAGGGAATCACAGAGGAGGAGACAATGAATCTATTAGCCATGCAATATGCTCCTTTCCTTTCCAGCTCAATCATCCCGTTCTTCACTTAAAGAGAGGCTGTGGAAGCAGTGAGCCCAAGCCCTGATGTAAGAGCTGAATTCTTATCTTACACTGCTTGGGCCAATAAGGAGATACATTTGAATGGAAGGTCTCTCCTGGTATTTTAGGGCTAAGAATTAAAAGCAAGACTCTTACAGCAAAGGGAGCTTTCTCCCCTCACTAAGCCAAATCATTTGTTTTAACAAGGGGAAGCTGTTCCTCTTCCCTTGTGAAGCACAGCCACAGGAGTAGTGGCTCTTCCTATGGTAGAACCCAGAAAGGAAGACAGGCAGGACATACCTCCCACGCCAACACCCCACCTCTCCCAACACCTGGCATGATCAGCTGAAGACAGAATCAGTAGATTAACCCAAAGGCTAATTTGCTGCACACAGTGGTGCCCACGCAGTAATTTTATAGTCCCAAGACTTGTCCTTAAACGTCTCCATAGAAATTATCTTCTGTACGTTAGACAGGTATTCCAGAATCACAGGAACAAATTCCCTAGCAGAGAGATAAGGCTTCTCTGACATCTGGTAAAGGATAGTTTATCAAAGTGTTTATGGTAATCAGAGTGGAGGTGATTACATTCAACTCCCAACAGGTAAGCTTGAATATCAGGCAATATGGGCACAGCAATTTGTGAATATAAACTCTCATGTTAATAAAACAGGTTATAGCTATAAACAGGGGACATCAGCCAGGACTGGACCAGGTACCTGTAGCTCCCATGAACAGATCTCTGCCAAAGGAGCCCACAGATTCAAGTGACAAGCTGTCAGCAGTAGCCAGATTTCCTTCTCTATGGTACTCAACCTTTTCAGACTACCATACCCCTTTGCCAGAGTCTTATTTGTCCAGCATACCCCAAGTTTCACTTCACTTCAAAATGACTTGCTTACAAAATTAGACATAACAGTAGAAAAGGGTGTAAGCAGAAGGTTGATCCTGTTATGTAACAGTTGAAATGTTTGTCAATTCAAAGGGCAGCTCATCATTTGCATGACAATAGCACCTGCGTGTAATAACCGTCAGGCCCTCACTGTGTGAGCTGCTGTACAAACACCTTGTAACAGATAATCCAAATAGGCAAGCCAGACAGAAGGTGGCTTCTGTGGCCAGACAGAAGGTGGCCAAGGTGTCACACAGTTAGCAGAGAGCAGAGCAGGATTAGAAACCAGGTCTCCCAATAGCAAGTCTGCTGCTCCAACCCATTCTATTTCTTTTGGACCTTGTTCAGTGACTTTGTTAAGGGTATATGGGAGAGCAGCTGGTGCAACCCTCTTAAGCCACTTGATGTGTCCTACAAGTGTGAGAGTGTATACGTTCCCTGGCTTATTCAGAAGCCCAACTGATCCGGATATATCGGCAAACAATCTTCCAGGAGGAATTATTTCTTTCACTCCTTTTCTAACAGCCAGGCTCCCCCAGCTAGCACAAGGCAGTTCTGAAGCACACAGGATTTCAGGGAGCGACAGATTGAGTGGCACTCAGGAGATGTTTTAAGGAGCTCTGGTGTCATCTAGTTTTATTTTTGGACATTGCAGAGCTTTGGCAGAGTAATTTGGTTGCCAAGGAAACAAGTGTGAAGGTGCACCGGGCTGCTGCCCACATTGTGAAGTGTGAGAAATGCCTGTAATCAGCAGCCCGTCACTTCCCACTGGACCTTTGCCAATTACCACCAACCCCCACCAGGCAGTTGGCAGGACAATACAAGGCATGCACTGTAAAAGAGGCACGGGGAGAGGGACCAAACAAACAACAAGCCAAGCATTGGGAACGGGAACACCCAGATTAGGAGTTTAATCTAAGGTAACCAACTCACAGAGAGATCTTTGAATTGAGAAAAGGGACAAAAATGCATCCTTAGCAAGTACCCAAAGATTGGTTAGCCAAGGAACCGGCTACAGCCTTTCCTTTTGTTATTATTAGTATTACTCCCAGTTTGAGAACTCCATTATCATTGGCAGTTTGCAATAATCATTTTAAAACAGTTTGATTAATTAATGCACCGGATCGCTCTAGATGGATTCAGAAAGGGATTTTCTGTTTTTAAAATCATATTACAGCTGTAACTGTATTCACGTGGGGGGGGGAGGGGGTGTATTTGTATGCCTAAGTCACAAAGAATAAGGGCCACATTCAAACATGCCTGGTTTCCAGGAGATGCAAGTTGCGAAAACCTGAATGAATGTAGTCCAGTGTGTGTAACACAGGACACCGATACAGCATCATGGGGGTTTTGAGTGATGCAACAGAATGATTCTATAATTGCACATCATACTCTGATGTTATGTAGATGTTGCCTGCACGGTCTGAAATTCTTTTGGGGGCTTAATAAAATGTCCCTTCCATTTCAGACTCAGAGAAACATGGGTGAGAAGAGGCTTCTGCTGCTGCTCTTTATGCTATCTGCTCCATGAAGGTCTGCAGTCAGACAAGTGGGAAAGTGAGCCCTAAAGCATGAAAAACTAAAGTGTTGCCTGCTGAAATATGGGTAGTTCACAATAAAGTTTGGAAGAAATTCCTCCATTGAGTTGTCACAGTCACATTGTAATACAATTCCTACAGTTCTCAGGAGGGCTGAGTTTCAAACAAGCATACACTGGAAATTGTACATCAAGATATTTTAGCCTTTGTAAATTTAGTTTTAGTTTTACTAGTTGAGCGCTGTCTCCTTTTTCCTCTTTATTTCATCTCTCCTCCTCTCCCAACACCATCTTGTTTTGTTCTCCTTATGCCGCCTGCCCATGCTGTTCTGATTCCGAGTCACCTTTTCTTCTACTCCATGGCATTTCATTCCTCTTCTGTAGATTTCTTGCCCTCTGGTGTCACTGTTGGCATGAGACCATCAGGGTAGTTTCTTAGATAACAGGGCCCAACTGGCTTGTATCTGTCTGCAGGAGCTCGCACTGCTCATTTCCGTACTATACTGTGGCTGTCTAGCCTGAGCCATTCCTCCTCTGTGCTAGCAGGATGGTTGTTGTATCTAACATGCAGCTGTTCTCCAGTGTGTATCCTACCAGTAAGAGCAGGATCTTGCCCACATCATCTAACTATCCGGAACTCTCCTCAGCTCCCCCATGGGCACTTAAGCTTACCCACACATATGTTAAAAGGGGGGAAATGCACAAATCTATCATTTAAAACACATTATGCATCCGCGCTGTGCCTGCAGCATCCTTTGGAGAAAGCTGACTTGCTGCAAATGACATTACCTGGCTGGTGCAGTAATTATAAGCAGTATTTACAGCCTTGATACCATTTTAATGTTGTTTTGCATCTGCTATACTTCCACTTAGAGAATAAATGTAGTAGGGAACATCTGTTTTCCATTTCAGTCTAACACGACATTCCCAAGCCAGAGATGTCCCTAGTGTTTCAATGAGCTTTAATGATTTCAATCCTCATAGCATGGCCATCTCCATGGAGCAACAGGTACAAGCCTTAGCCCAGCTTTGTGAGCAGATGACATAACCTAATGCTGGTCATTTTTATTTTGCTCATTACAATAACATGCAGAAAAAATAAGGAACTGCTCATGCCAATGTCATCTCCGCTTTATATAACGAGGCAGCCATCATCCGGCATGGGGAAGAGACATCAGAAGGAGGAGGGAAAAAAGTCACAGTTAAGGTCTTACCCCACCTGACAATAGAGAGCAATAGAAGAGGAAGAAGGCGGCTGCTTATGAAGGAACAGGGAGCTCTCAGGGCTCTGTCAGCTTCACTCACAAATAAGAGCTATGCAGAAATCTGTCAATGAAATGTGACAGAGTGGAGGAAGTTTAAAAGATCCTTGTGTCACCTGGGCAACTTTTATCTAAAAGTCACTAACCCCCGAAAGTTTAAAAGAGTGTCAGGAAAAGCAGGGGGCATGACATTTGAATTACTGGAGGGAGGAAGGTGTCTTTGTGCCCAAACCAAAGGCCTGGGCATCTAGGGTACATCTACACTGCATGGCTATTTCGGGATACCAGAGGTATCCCGAAATAGCTAACCCGCGTCTACACAAGCTGCCCGTGATATCCAAATATTTTTAGAAATAACAGGTGTGCTATTTCACCATCCTGGTAAACCTCGTTGCACAAGGGATAAGGGATGGCTCCAAATAGCAGGTCATTTCAAAATTTGGCCCTGTGTAGATCTCTCCAAAGGGCTCAGGCACTCCCTCTCATTCTCTGTTTTATGTGGGGGGTTTTTTGACTCCTTCTGTAGGTGGTGAGGGCCATCACCTTCATCCTGCTGCTCAGGATCATCTGTCTGGGAGACCTGGACCTCATCGTGGCTGGATTTCCTGCTCTGAGGTTCCTGAACCATAGATGGGACCACGAACCTCAACATTGAGTGGCCCAGTATATCAACCGCAAGGGCTATTTTTCAATGGTGCTGTAGGCCCTGGACAATCACTGAGGACAGTTCATGGACATTTTTGTTGGGTGGTCAGGCAGGGCGCATGACGCCTGCGGTTTTCATAACTTTGAGCCTCTATGGCAAGCTGGAGGCAGGCACATTCTTCTCCCACCATGACTTTGCCGTTGGGGATGTGCAGATGCCACTGTGCATCGTGGGGGACGTGGCCTAACCCCTGATGCCATGTCTGATGAAGCCATACACCAGACACCTGGACCCCAGCAGGGACCAATTTAACTCCCACCTTAGCTGGGCGAGGATGCAGGTGGAGTGGGCCTTCAGCCACCTCAAGGCGCATTTCAGATGCCTCCTGACCCACCTGGATGTGGGGGAGCACAACATCCCTGAGGTGGTGTCGGCATGTTGTGTCCCCCACAACATTGTGGAGAGGAAGGGGGAAGCCTTCCTCCCGGGGTGGGGGCAGATACCTGCTGCAAGGGAAGACCCTTTCAGCAGCCACGGACAGCTGACATCTCTCAGGCCCATCAGGCTGGGATATGCATTTGGGAGGCCCTGAGGGAGCGTTTCTCTGAAGGACCCCAGAAACGCTCCCCAGGGCCTCCCCACTAGGGGCCTCTGGCTTCCTCCACTATCCCTTTCCCGCCACAACTCCTCCCTTCACCCCTTCCATGACCTCAGAATAAACACACCTGTCTGGATTTGAACACAATGAACTTTGTATTTGTCTTTTTAAAAAAGGGGGGGGGAGGGAGCTCATAACCTGGAGGGGGAGGAGGCTCGGAGTGACATGGGGGGTGGTTGGATGTGCAGGAACCTCGTCGGACTTGGGGTTGGGTAGCTCCAGTGACCATAGAAGGGTAGACAGGAGCAGGGGCTGAAGCATGGTGAGGGATGCCAAGGGGGCAGGGAGAGAGGGCTTGGGCATCACTTGGGGAGGGGGCATGGGCATTGCTTGGGGGGAAGGGAGAATGGGAATGGGCATACCAGGGGGGCAGGAGGGTGGTGGCCAGGAGCAGTGACAGCAGCCAGGTGTGATGACGGCACATATGCTATCGCACCGCTGCATGAGCTAGTCCCACGCACGGTTCCACCACTCTGCGTCCTCCCAGATCTTCTGTGCCAGGATCTGCTGCATGTCACGCAGGACGCTGACATGCTGCCACATCAAGTCTTAATGGACCCTGGCGCACTTACAGGTTCCTCAGGCTCTGGCATCTGGCTCAGGTGGTGTGGCTCGCCCCTCTGGTCCGGCTGGGGAGAACACAAAGAGGAAGAGGAGGTCAGTCATCCATGAACACTCTATCCCTGAGGCCATGCCCTCCTCTCTGAGCAGTGACCAATAGTTCTTGGGCCAGAGGAGGGGGATGTCCCGGGAGCAAGGCCTTACAGGGGCCCCGAGGTGCCCTGGGGACCATGGAGGGAGAGGCAGTCAGTCATCCATGCATACACTATCCCTGAAGCCTTGCCTTCCTCTGTGAGCAGCGACCAACAGTCCTCGGGCCAGAGGAGGGGGATGTCCTGGGAGCAAGGCCATGTGTGGCCTGTACAGCAGGCCATGCCTCAAGGGGCCCTGAGGTGCCCAGGGGACAATGCTACACGCTTCACTCCTCCCGCCCCCCTCCCCAGGCTCACAGAGAAGCAGGCAAGGGAAGTGTCCGGCCCCTGTGGGATCCCATGGGTGACAGAGGAGCCGGGAGCAGCACGGCCCTCCCTGGGGCCCGCACAAAAACCTGCGCCTCACAGCACTGCCCGCAGGAGCGGGTGGTGCCTCGCATGTGCAGGCCAGATGTGTGTTTGGCCTCCCCTGAGCCTGGGAGCAGGATCCTGGGGATGCTCAGGGGCTGGCTGCTGAGTCTGCGTGGCGCACAGTAACGCTGCACGTGGTTCTATGTGCACAGACTGCAGCATGATATTCAGCCCAAGCAGACCAAGCGACGCTCGCACCCCTTCCCCTCTGCTCCCGCCTCCCTCGCCCTGTGTGTGCACTCACCTGGAGATCCCTCCCTGGCATCAGACGATGCCTGCAACATGTCCAGGCTCATGACAGCCCAGCTCCAGGGACAGCATCACAGTTGTGGCCGTGTTGTCGTCCTCCTCCTCCTGACCCTGCTGTACAGCCCGGAGTCAACTACAACAGGCATGGAAAGGGCTTCCCCATCCGCCTGGATCTGGTGCAGTTCTGCGTAATAGGGTCAGGTGTGGGGTCCTGCCCCGGAGTGCAAGCTGCACTCTCAGGCCCGCGCCTATTCCCAGTAGAAATCCTTCACTTCACTCCAGACCTGTTCCACGGTCTGGGGTGGGTGTCCCTGCTCCACCAGGGACTCAGCCATCAGTCCATAAATGTCTGCATTGCGTCGTTTGGAGCGGAGATCCTGGAGGGTCTCCTTCTCCTCCCATAGCTCAAGGAGGGACAGGATCTCTGCTCCAGACCATGAGGGTGCCTGCCGCTCGGTACCCCTCAGTGGGTCCAGGGAGTAGGGTTGCCAGGTGTCCGGTTTTCTACCATTTGCACCATCTGTCCGGTAGAAAAATTCAGAAAATACTGGACGTCGATGTAACTGAAGTTTTTTCGGAAAAACTCTGCAGTGTAGACAGACCCTGAACCACTTACCACCCACGCTTCAGATTGGAGCAGCTCTGCTGACTGGGTGTCTCACTCTCCCCGATCCCCGCTCTGCAGAGACAGGGCACAGGGGCAGGAGAGCCCTGACTGCAGCCCTCTGGGCCCCCTGCCCTGCATAGCTAACAGGAGAACCCTTGGAGCAGCTCAGCTATAGGCTAGAGCAAGGTGGAGGGAGGGGCAGCTGAACACATGCTGCTGGCTGTACGTATGCACATCTGTTATCCAGCTGGGCTAGCTGGCGAGAAATGCTTAGTGGGCTTGATCTGGCTTTGGGCCTGATTTTGCTCACCCCTGATCTAGACCATCCCTGACAGGTGTGTATCCAACCTGCTCTGAAATATCTCCAGGGATGGAGATGCCACAACCTCCCTAGGCACCTTATTCCAGTGTTTAGCCACCTTGACAGGAATTTGGTCCTAATGTCCAATTTAAAGCTCCCTTACTGCAGTTTAAGCCCATTGCTTCTTCTCCTATCCTCAGAGGTTAAGAAGAATCATTTTTCTCCCTCCTCCTTGTGACACCCTTCTAGGTACTTGAATGCTGTTATCGTCGCCCCTCTCAGTCTTCTCTTTTCCAGACTAAGCAAACCCAGTTCTTTCAGTCTTCCCTCCGAATGCTGCAACACTTTCATTTGTGTTTGTGTCTTATGGTCATGCAATTCTGCACCTGCCCCTAAAACAAATGCAATTCTAACCCAGCTGTACAGCAAAAACATTCAGATGAAGACACCTACCTGCAGCTGTACCTAGAGAGTTTGTGTGGCTGCATTGGTTGAGCAACGCTCGGATTTGCACTCATAAATTGGATAATTGCCTGTGT